AGATCAATCATGAATATCATTTCTATATATTATTGTGTTGCTAACTACTGAAGAGATCCTATATGCCGACTGAATGGAGTCAAGCAACCTTTTTATAGTCTGCAACCTATGGCAGGAGACATGAAGACTTTTGATTTTCCAGCCCACAAGGAGAGATGCAGACGTTTGACAGATTCAAACAAGGAGACATGCAAACGTTTGGCAGATTCAAACAGGGAGACATGCAAACGTTTGGCAGGTTCACACAAGGAGATAGTTTCACACCAGAAACCATATAACGGCTTGTTTCAGTCGACAATCAAAAGACAGGTTTCAAGCAAAATTATCATGCCATCATACAGCTAAGACTGAAACACTAAGACTGAAAATTATCATGCCATCAGACAACTAAGACTGAAATAAGACTGAAAATTATCATACCATCGGTAGAATTTCCAGCACACCTCACCATGGCTTCCTCCTTTTCCCTGCTAGTAGAAATGAATAGATATATCAATTCTAGTGAACTGAACAAGTGAACAAGGATGGGTGCAGGCAACTGACAAATAACATACATGTAAACTAACAGATAACATAAGATACAGGATACTGAAACTGACAACTAAGACTGACAGGTAACATACAGGTAACTGAAACATCATGTGTGAATACCTGACTAGATCATTTCAGGAAATAAAGTCTTCCTAAAACACTTCATGGCAGCAACACGCTCAGCTTTTTCTTCATCGGACATTGAACTTGTTCTTGAGAGATGAGAGTGTTGTAAGCATGCATCATCTTTGATTCCTTCTCAAGCCTTTTTGCCTCGATGGTCTCCTTATCTGTAAGATGTGCCAGTCTCGTGGTTTCAAGCTTCTTGGATGATAACTTCTATTGTAGTTCCAATACCTTCATGCGGTTTGCATTTAAATCTTCCTGGATTTTGTGAAATTTGTCAAGCTTCTCCACATCAATCGCCGATTCCTTTGATTTTCCATCATCATCCAAAATTGATCCTTTGGACTTCCCTTTTGCAGCAAGAGCGGTCTTTTTGGCTGCCTTCTGTCCAGTAGGTCGCTCTGGTATTTCTTCAATATCATCATTTTCCTCCACTTCTCCTTCAATGTGATATGACTTCCTTTTACGTGCATTCCTTAGGTCTTCATTTTATGTTTTCCACTTTAGCTCCTCTCGGCATATTTTCCAAACATTCTTGAGCACAAAGGGACCTAGCTTTGCCTTTTTGTTGCCTACCAAATAGAACTTGTTTGCTGCATCAATCCACATGTGATCAGAATACCCACATGTGAATTGTCTGCGACCCATCAGATATGCACATTCATAGAGATCCGTCCAACAATTAATCTTGTGCCATAGATCCTTGGCTTGCTTTGAATTTCTTTTCCTATGTGACAGGATAGTCATGTTGTATGACTTAACAACATCACCCCAATAGTGCTCGTTATTCCTATCAGCTCCGATGGATGAATCTGTTGAATTTTTCAACCAACCACTCATCAATATCTCGTCTTCTTTTGGTGTCCACATGATCCGCTTCTTAGTCCTGACATTCTCCGTGTCGCTATCAACATCAATAGCATGCTGGTCAGATAAAACTTCCACTTCTTGAGACGAACTTCCACATTTGTTAGGCTGTGGTGCATCAATTGAGGCAAAACTGATGCCAACATCGACAAGCCTTGATGCCTTGAAAGGTGCATAATGAGATGGAGCACCAACAAAATGTGAATTCTGTGATAAATGGGGTTGGTTGTAGAATAATTAACCCATAAATTCACCAGGGGATGTGTGCTGTTGTCCCTGCAAGTATATATTTCTTATCAAATTTCTGCTGGATATGTATTTATCAAACAAACAGACAAGTAAACCAAGTAAAAAATTCAGTAGCTAGAAAACATTCAGTTATCAATTCAGTAGCTAAACACATTCAGTTATCAATTCTAGTAAACTGACAACATTCAGTGGCTAGAAAAAAAATCAGTGATCAATTCTAGTGAACTGGCAAGTGGCAACATTCAGTAGCTAGAAAAAAATCAGTAATCAGTTCTAGTGAACTGACAACATTCTCTGAAAGCATTCAATAGTTAGAATTGCAGGTTCCATGTATTGGCATGTTTAACTCAAAAAATACTAACAGAACTACCACTATTTCTATGCTATCCTGAAAATCACCAAGGCAACATAGCATACAGGTAACTAAAATAGAATTGCAGAACGTAGCAGGATAGATTTCCCTAGACGAGCATAAATGCAGAATATGAATTCAATCAAATCAAGGCTATAGCCTACAGCTAAACATGAGAATTGAAGCAAATCAAGGATTATCATGTTGGATCCCAACTTGATTGATGCCCAATCGCAGGAGATTTTGGACCGGTGGAGGCACACCTGCCATGTGAAGAGGCAACTGCACCAAATCCAACTGGGTGGCTTCGTCTGCCATGGATTGGTGAAGAATCAAAGCCATCTGCCAGGGATTGAGGATGAATCGTACCAGCAGAGGGGTTGGGTGTTGGGGACGAGCTACTTCCGCGATCGACGAAGGGTGCTGCCACGCCGTTTGTGAGACATATATGTGCGGATTTTTGGCGCGAATATTTCACCTCGCACGCAATTTGTGAGACGAATCTATTAAGTCTAATTAGTCCATGATTTGACAATGTAGTGCTATGGTAAACATTTGCTAATTATCGATTAATTAGGGCTTAATAGATTCATCTCGCTAATTAGTCTCAAGAATTTTTTTATTTAATAAAAAAGCCTCATCCTAGCTAGTTATAAGTTCATTTGTTATGACAATAATATTGTGTATACTCTATTGCACATTTTCTAAAATAGTATCTATAATATCATTTGAAATTAGAAGAAAGCCTAGAACTATTATAGAAATTGCTATATCTGTCAATAGATTTAGATGGCCTGTATCTGTTAGATTTTTTAGTCATTAGATGGAGAACCAAAGGTGTGGATCTCTTTATCTCTTGCAGCCATACACCTTCCCCTCCTTCTCATCCACCTCCTCCTTTCTCCCTCTCGCCGTCCTGCCCTTGAAGATACCGGCGTCCACCACAGCGAGTTCATTGGAGCCGCTCCTTCCAACACTGCAAGCTTGTTAGAGCCGCTCCCTCCATCGCTCTCTGGAACTCCACTGAAGCCACCGCTGTTAGCCGCTACGAGTTAGTCAGAGCTGCCTCCCTTCGTCACCCTATGGAGAACTCTACCTCCCCTGAAGCCGCTGCCCTCCATCGCACTTGATCGAAGCCGTTGCCCTCGACCAATGCGAGTTCCCACCATCCTATAGCGTTTTCTTCTCTAATGCAGCGAGTTCGTCGAAACCGAGCAGGCCAACCCGTATTCTTGCCATCGTTGGTGCCAGCAAGACACCTAGCAGCCGAGGGCCGCCACCACCCGGTCTCGATAGGTGGGAAGACAAAGGAGTCCGGTGGACACGCGTGCTTTGCCAAGGGATAAACAAGAACGAGAAGGGTTAATGACAGATATATGTTAGCTAAAGGCATGTTTGGATCCATTAATACTAAAAATTTACTCGCTAATAGCTAATACTATTATTGTTTTGCTAGCTAATTTTTAGTGGGAGGTCTTGTGGATTCACATGCTAATAGGTGGTTGGATAGTGAGTTAAGGATATATATGAAGTATTAGCATCTATTAACAACCAAATAAGCTAATAGAACCAATAATTAGTTAGGAACCCCTAGCTAATAATTAGCAGGATAATTAGTAGGTCTGCTTAGATTCACTAGTATTAATTTTAGCTGCTAACTTCAATGCTAATGGATCTAAACAGGCCCTAAATCTGCTGCCTATATATATCAATTTCATAATAAGATACTTCAACCGCGAGGAATATAATGGAGGCCAACGAGGCTCCCAGGCACTATGCACGATCACTGTTGATTTTTGGTACTTTGGTTATTTGCTAGCTACTGTTCATTTCCACTATTTAATATTGTTCCCGAAAATTATTTTCTAGCATTGCTGTGTTCTTGATATGGTGCCAGTTAATATTTCTCAATCAAGGATCTTGGTTCTGGCTAATACTTTTGGTTGTGCCAAATGCTCTTTACCTTTTACTTATTTGGGTCTGCCACTTAGTCTCACTCAGCCTTTTACTCAAGTTGCGAGAGAAGGCTGGTTTGCACCTCTTTGTTTCTTAATCAGGTTGGGTGTATGGAGTTGGCCAATTCTGTTTTTAGTGGTCTCCCTACTTTCAACATGTGTACTTTTTGGCTCCCAAAAATAATCATTAAGCAAATTGATAAGTTCAGGAGACATTGTTTTTTGTGAGGAACTGATATTAATGCTATAAGCCCACCAAAGGCAGCTTGGGAGATGGTGTGTCAAATAAATTCATATGGTGGTCTTGAGTCTTAAATCTTCGGACTCACAATGAGGCTCTTCTTCTCAAGCACTTGCACAAATTCTTCAATCGGTTGGATCTTCCATGGGTGCTGTCATGACCCGATCATGACATGTTGCTTATAATGCTCGTCATATGCATCTTAATCTCAACTTTCCAAGAAATTAAACCAAAACTGCTCACTGTTGGTTTGGCAGAGAGTCCGTCACCAGTGACGGTGGGTCCGTCATGCCATCTGCACGACCTGATAGAATTCAGCCTCTGTTAGTGTAAACTCGACCACGGCGGAGAGTCCGCCAGAACCAGCGGAGGGTCCGCCAGTCCATCCCATGCAACAAACCTGAGGTATCACTTTGTTAGTCTTTTGGACCCCACACCCAGCACCAGCTGTGCATTTCGTGAGAGCCCAAACTAGAGGCCACAGCCAGCTCACTCTCTCGTTCTCACACTCCCTCTCTCACTCTAGTTATTATTTATATATGGGAGAATCAAAACATGTTTAGACTTTTAGAGCACCTCATCAAGCAGAACACTATATAAACTGCCTAGCGCTAGCAATCGAGAACCAGAATTAGCCAGCCAGCAGCGTATAGATACTGGACATTGATACGTGGACGCGATGGCACTCGTGCAGGAGAGCAGCCAGGACTTGCTCCAAGGTTACGTCGTGCTCTGGCACCAGTCCCTGTGCTACGCCAAATCGATGGCGCTCGCCGTGGCGCTGGACCTCCGCATCCCCGACGCGATCCACCACCACGGCGGCGGCGCTACCCTCCCCCAGATCCTCGCTGAGACTGCGCTCCACCCAAATAAGCTTCGCGCCCTACGCAGCCTCTTGCGCGCGCGCACCGCCTTGGGCACCTTCAGCGTCCAGCCACCACCAACCAGCGGTGATGATTCAACCGTCGACGCGTCGGGCGAAGCTGTCTATAGGCTGACTGCAGCCTCCCGCTTCCTCGTCAGCAACGAGGTGAGCTCGGCGACCTTGGCTTCCTTCGTGAGCCTGGCGCTCCACCCTATCGCTGTCGCCCCGCACACCCTGGGCATGTGCGCGTGGTTACGGCAGGAGCAGAACGAGCCGTCCGCTTATGCCCTGGCGTTCCGCCAGACAACCCCGACGATCTGGGAACACGCTCACGATGTAAACGCCTTACTGCACAAAGGCATGGTCCAGGGCAGCCGTTTCCTGATGCCAATCGTGCTCAGGGAGTGCGGCGAGGTGTTTGGTGGGATCGACTCGTTGGTCGACGTCGCCGGTGTGCGTGGTGGTGCCACCGCCATCATTGCCGCTGCCTTCCCGCACCTCAAGTGTAGTGTGCTTGACCTCCCGCACGTTGTCGCTGGTGCTCCATCTGATGGCAACGTGCAGTTTGTCGCAGGCACTCGTGGCCTGTTCGCTTCTCTTATCCATCTTTTTTAGCTTGTTTTTTTAGTCGGAATAGTATTTTTCTCTCACAACAAATCAGTCGGAACAGTATTTCGGCTTGTTTTTTCAGCGAAACGAACGGGGCCAATGGCAACGTGCAGTTTGTCGCAGGCACTCGTGGCCTGTTCGCTTCTCTTATAATATGTTTGAGAGTATTCCACCTGCAACCGCTGTTTTCGTCAAGGTACATCCGCTACTGTTGACTGCTCCCTCCATTTTTTTGTTGTATTTGCATTTTGAGATCCATGTCAAACTTCAAAATTTTGATTATCCTTTTTCTTATCTTGGATGAGATGCTTCCTAATACCCAAAATAACTTGATTCCAAAAATCAAGTCAAGCTATCTTAAATTTGATTAACTTTATAGCAAAGAATAATAACATATATGATACCAAACATATATGTTATTATGAAAAATATATTTCATGATGTATTAGTAATAATACTAATTTGTTATCATAAATACTAATGCTAGTTTTTAATAAAATTTAATTAAGATTAAAATGGTTTGACTTAAGGACAACTCTATAAGTTAATTCAGGTTGTGTTTTGTTGGGCTCTAGATTTTTCTAGAAATGTTTCGGATGTGGATTATCTCATAAAATGTTTTGTGATGAATCGAAATCACTATACAAAACCGTTGGATTATGAGCCTAGATTCTGATTCCCACAAAGTTCTTTTTACACAAAAAATCATATAAATGAAAATAAGCTTCAGAAAAATTCTAAAATTTGTGTGGACGAAGAACAAACTTAAATACAATATGTTATTATTTGTTACACTTAAAAACAATAATTTAAGAAAAATATGGTCGCTAGTGTATAGCTAGGGGCGGAGCTAGAGGAAATTTGAGGAGGTGTGCTTACCTTGTAAGTGCTTACATTTTTATAAGTGTGCGTATATGGTCAAAATTTAATCATACTGCTTTTTTTCGGTGGGTGCGTCCTCACCCCTTACCTACTGCATAGATCCGCCTCCCAGTGTAGCAAACACCAAAACGGAATCCTCCGAAACTAGTGTTTAGGACCGTTTCACATGTGTAGTGCAAAATAGAAGAATCGTTTCAACTGTTTCTGAAACGAAAGGCAATGTAATAACTGTGTTTGGCGGTGATTCTAACTTTTTAGCATAAAATTGGAATCGTTCTAGCATTGCCAAATGAACTCTAGTAGAAATAAAGGGATCTGACATTATAAGGCCCTATTTGGATCATAGGAACTATCTTTTAACCCAAACACCAAGGTCCCTTTTCTTCATTACCTATCGATTAATTTGATGATTACCTATGCCAGACAGCTTTACATGACTGGAGTGACGACGAGTGCGTCAAGATATTGAAGAAATACAGGCAAGCGATATCTCCACGGGATGCAGGAGGGAAGATAATAATCCTGGACATGGTAGTTGGATATGGGGAGCCAAACACAAAGCATCTAGAGACACAGGTTATGTTTGATTTGTATATTATGTCAGTCAATGGAGCTGAGCGCGACGAACAAGAGTGGAAGAAGATTTTCATTGAAGCTGGATTCAAAGACTACAAAATTCTCCCCGTTGTTGGCGCTCTATCGGTCATCTAGGTCTATCCATGAATGCTTGGTGAACAAAGGCCTCCATAATAATAATTACATAGATTAAGGCTAATTTGCAAGACGAATCTATTAAGTCTAATTAGTCCATGATTTGATAATGGGGTGCTACAGTAAATATTTACTAATTAGTCTACTAAACGTGTTGTCTCAAGAATTTTTTTTATTTAATAAAAAAGCCTCAGCAGGGGGATGTGTGCTGTTGTCCCTGCAAGTATATATTTCTTGTCAAATTTCTGCTGGATATGTATTTATCAAACAAACAAACAAGTAAAACAAGTAAAAAATTCAGTAGCTAGAAAACATTCAGTTATCAATTCAGTAGTTGTCGGGTTCATAAACCCGAGGTCCCCAATGGACCCGCTTCCCTGCAAAATCCGGCCCAGCAAGCTGCGCAATGACAACGCGCGCCTGGGCCAGCCCAGATACATAATGACAGGCAGGGACAATGATCCGGTCCTCGACCAGAAGGCCTGGCCGAGGTGGGACCGCAATCCGGCTCCGACCTCCTTCTCCGACCGAGGATACGCCAGACCTCTGCTCGCTGCTCTTTCCCGGCCGACACGGTCGGGACCGACTGGGAACGACAGACCGGAGACGCCCGCTTACCGAGGGCCCAAGGATCAGGCGGAGTAGATAAGGTAAGGCGTTCAAGTTAACCTCAATACCGAGGACCGTACCCTGCCATGCCCTGCGCACCTGCAGGACTGTGCCACCAGGCCATGCTAGACAGGCATTATACAACCTGTCAGACGCGTCAGAGCATAAACAGTGTTGTAGGCACCGACGACCGTCTCGTACCCGACAGCGTGGGCAACAAGACTAGGTAGCACACGTATACACTCTATCTCTTTCTCTGACTTATAAGGCCATCCCCTTCGACTATAAAAGGGGATGAGTTTTCTCCTAAAAGCTCTCTCTCGAAAGAAAAAAGGCTAGACGACTCGAGGACTCGATGACCTAAGCACTCGAATAGCTCAATAGCCCTAGAACTCGATAGCTACATAGAGCATACACTCCAATACTTAGCGCATGTTAGAGCACCCATCACTCTCGGCCATTTGGTTCAGAGTCCGACCATGCCTTTAACACCCCCCTTCTCATTCCTACTCGTTTGTAACCCCACAACAAACTTTGAGCACCTGGGCTCAAGAATAAAGTCACCAACAGACTCAAACTGGACGTAGGGCACGTTGCCTGAACCAGTATAAATCCTATGTCATCGCGTGCTAGGCCACATCCGATCACAACGCACGACAAAACTACAACTATTTACTTATTGGTCACTTTTCGCACTGACAGTTGGTACCGTCCGTGGGGAAGACGCTGTGCGTTCACGCTTTTGATCATCGAATGGCCCACCTTTCCACCATTTTTGACATGGTGGGCTCGAGCGATACGATTCGCTTCAGCTCGTTAGAGTTTCCCACTCTCCCACCTATTGGGACGTGGGTTCCTCCCATCTTCGAGCCGCTCCAGACTTTCCTCTTCGGAAGCCTAGACTTCGTCGCCGACCAGCTCGGCGTACTCTGCCTCCTCGAGGAGGCACTCAGCCCGATATCCACTGGAGGAGGAGCACTCTCCACTAGCCCGGGCCACTCGATGACCCCAATGTCGAGATACTCACGCTTCGCCATGAGCCCATGCTGGGATCAAACCCCACGGTGAGTGATGTACATATTGTTATTTACTCACTATTTAACATCTTCCGCCGACTCTCCAAAGGGACCCTGTTGTACCCACCACGACCGCCATGCGACCGGTTCCCCTACGGCTTCGCGTCCTCCGTGGACACATGCACATGGGGGCTCCGAAGGATGCTGATGTCGCCCCCTCTCACGTCCGAGTTTGTGGGGATAGCGGGCTATGCCCCCGCCTCCTTCCACGACCTCGTTGATGACAAGGTCGAAAGCGACGGCTCCAGCATCGGCGACGTCGTGGCACCTGGCCACCCTATGTTCCGGGAGTGAGCTATGGCGGACGCCCCGGGACAACCACCGGTGGTAGTGGAGTCTCTACAGACCCACACCCGTCCGGACCCCCCGTGCGAAGGCCCTGGCGCGTGCGCAGGAGCACGGCGAGGAGTTACGACCAACACGGCAGAGCGAACCGCCACCTACGCTGGCGTGCTCGGTGCAACATGCTGCGCCACATGCATAGAACCCAGCAAGTGATGCTCGGGGTCACGCCCGTCAGGTCCAGCGTAACATCCTGGATGGAGGGAACGACTCCCCTTAGTTTGCTCGGGCTAGTCAGAACATCGCTGCTGCGGCAATGCTTCTGCGTGGCCTCCCCGAGCCTACCGACCCCTAGGAACAGGCAATCCACCAGAACCTCTAGGCGCTGGTGGAGACCATCGCCGTTCAACAAGTGGAGAGCTCCATGTCGTGACACCGGCTCGTGGCCTCTTGCCCAACACTAGAGGACTAGGGCCGCACCAGTCAAATTGCTCTGTCCACTCACCACTGCTATTGCCGGGCGTGAGGCAGGAAGCCACGGCTGCACCGCAGCCTGACCCAGGGCCTGCTCCACACCAACCACCTGTGCTCGAACGGCTTGGGACGAACTGTGAAGCTCGTAGCATCATCAACAATCGACGCCACACCCAGCACGATGATGACGTCCATCAATTGGCGGCGAGAGTAGGCGGCACAGGCCTTGGCCTGACCATCGAGTGTGGGGACATGCACCCAAACATGGTGGCCGACCAAACGACCAGAGCCCCAGCCCGGATGGACCGAGCCCATGGGCCTTTTTTGTCACATCCAGAAAGCATCGTTCCCACAGAGCTTTCGATCGCCCACCAACATCGCCAGATACACCGGGGAGACGAACCCTGGTATATGGCTCAAAGACTTCTGGCTCGCCTATCGAGCCGGAGGAGTGGATGATGGCTACTTCATCATCCAGTACCTCCCCATCTACGTGGGGGAGCATGTTGGTGCATGGCTCGAATTCCTTCCGCTCAACAACATCCGTGATTGGGCGGATCTCAAGAGGGTCTTCGTCGAAAATTTCTAGAGGACGTATGTCCGTCCTAGGAATTCCTAGGAACTCAAGAGCTCCTAGCAAGAGCCCAATGAGTCCCTGTTGGATTACATCTGTAGGTTCTCAAAGCAGTGCAACTCCCTTCCAGATGTCATCGACGCAGACGTCATCAGCGTGTTCCTCTCTGGGACAACCTGCAAGTCTAAGCTCGGCTGTGTGAAGCCCCGTACCATCCGCGGCCTGCTTGACATCGCCATGAACCATGCCTCTGGAGAGGAGGCAGTTGGGGCGGTCTTTAGCTACGGTCGGGATAGGGGCAAGGCCAAGCGCGAGGACCAAGGCGAGGGCCCCTCCACACAAATGGGTAAGAAGAACAAGAAGGATCGGCGCCGACTGGCCAACCTAGCTTTGGTCGCTGTGGCAGACCGAGCGGGCAAGCAGCCCTAGCAGGGCCAGCCCGACTACTTCGACAAGCTCATAGAGAGTCCATGCACCAACCATGCCTACCCCATCAAGCACCACTACAAGGACTGCAAGCTCCTCAAACGCTTTCTGTGGCAAGCCACAAGCCAAATGAAGGGAAGGATAAGGAGGAGGCAGCCAAGAAAGGAGGTGCGGTGGGTAAGGATGAAGATGACTTCCCCAACCCCGAGGAATGCCCCACGATCTTTGGGGGATTCGACGCCATCCACTCCAAGCTCCAGCACAAGGTACGCTACAGAGAGGCATGCGCCACTGAATCGGCCATCCCCTCTTTCCTTAGCTGGTCGGACCCCCGATCACTTTTGATCAGAGAGACCATCCTTCCCCCATCGCCTGACCGGGTCGCTACCCGCTCGTTGTCAACCCCATCGTCCACAACAAGCACCTCACCAAGGTGCTGATGGACGGAGGCAACAGCCTCAACATTCTCTACGTCGACACCCTTGACGCCATGCGCATCCCCTGATCAGAGCTCCACCCAGTGAGCTCTCCCTTCCATGGCGTGATCCCAGGGACGTAGACGTATCCACTCAGGTAGATCGACTTGTCCATCACGTTTAGTGACCGCGCTAACTTCTGTTCGAAGGTCCTAACCTTTGAGGTAGTGGACTTTCTGAGGTCCTACCACGCCATCTTGGGGTGGCCATGCTACGCCAAGTTCATGGCGATCCCCAACTACACCTACCTCAAGCTAAAGATGCCGGGGCCAAACAACGTCATCCCTATGGGTAGCACCTTTTTGCACGCCTACACGTGCGACCGCGAGCATTATGAGCTTGCCACTGCCATCATCAAATCCGCCAAGCTCCCGGAGCTCAGGAATTCGACGACTCCAATAGTCCCCGACTGCAATGAGCGGACCTCCTCAAGTGCCATCCATCTGACTGAGGAAACCAAGGCACTAGAGATTGACCCCACCGACCCGACCAAGATGGTTCGGGTCGAGACCAAGCTCCCAGCCAAATAGGAAAGCGAGCTCGCTGACTTCCTATGTGTCAATCGTGATGTCTTTGAGTGGAAACCTTCTGACATGTCGGGCATACCAAGGGAGGTCACCGAGCATGCACTATGCGTCGTCTCGGTCTCAGAGCCCGCCTAGCAACGCTTGCGTCGCTTTGACGATGAGGGGCGCAGGGCCATAGGCGAGGAGATCACCAAACTTCTGGTAGCCGGATTCATCAAAGAGGTATACCACTCCGACTGGCTAGCTAATCCTGTTCTTGTGAAAAAGAAGAATGGGAAATGGAGAATGTGTGTTGATTATATAGGCCTCAACAAGGCATGTCCAAAGGACCATTTTCCTTTACCACGCATAGACTAGATAGTCGACACTAGCTTAGGGTGCGAAATCCTCTCCTTCCTGGATGCCTACTCAGGCTATCACCAGATCACAATGAAAGAGTTCGACCAGCTCACGACTTCATTCATCACCCCATATGGTTCGTATTGCTACATAACCATGCCTTTTGATCTGAAGAACGCTAGTGCCACCTATCAACGGTGCATGCAGCGATGCTTCA